TCTCACATTTCTTTACAACCACGTCTCTCGTCTCTGTATCATGTCGTAAATTTTGAATTTACTAGGGGGAGGTAAATGCAAAATTAACAACATGATAACAATTTTGCATTTATCCCCCCTCCCCCCCAATAAATTCAACATTTACAATGTAACATCGTATAGATTGATTCCATAATACCAAGATAAAACATTTTTTTATAAACCATATCGGAATTAGTGTTGAATATCTTCTTATCATAATTTTAATTGGTTGACTTCCAATACTGCGGCGAATAGAAAGGTTCTGTAGACGACCTAAATTCCTCAAATATATTGCTTACAAGTAACAGCCGCGAGGAACCCAAAAACGAATGTTTCATAAAATCAGTGTTTTGTTTATCTTTTCAATTATTTATATTTTTTGAAATAAAATTACCAACATTATAACTTACGAGTTTTTTTAACTGGACACAGTACTTTTGTAACTTTTGTAACCCGCGTGTATCAGCAAGATAACTCAATTCTTATTAAATTTTGATTACAACTAGAGGTACTGTGAGCGATGAGCTCACTAAATGATACCCCCCGCCTCCCATATGGTTATAACTGGTGAAAAAAGTCCATGTTACTCCTGTGGTTTTCCGGGAAACCCAAAATATGATTCGGATCAAAAAGTAAAATAGGAGGTGCACAATGGCAATATGTAATAAAGATTCTGTGAAAGTTGCATCAAATTTCATTCAGTGGTATGAGAGGAGTTGCGGATAAGAGATGGGTACCCCAAATCGTAACAGACGGACGGACGGACAGACGGAATATTGCTTACAAGTAACAGCCGACGAGGAACCCAAAAACGAATGTTTCATAAAATCAGTGTTTTGTTTATCTTCTCAATTATTTATATTTTTTGATAAAATTATTATAGCCTCCCGCTTTTGTAAGTAACCCGCGTGTATCAGCAAGATAACTCAATTCTTATTAAATTTTGATAACAATAAACGAGTTAACGTTGCTGCAGATCTGTAGCTTTATGGTTTTTATATATTTGTCTTTTACCAAAATCCCTTTTACCATAACGTTACACATCCCGTAATGCAAAAAAGGTGCAATTTACAGCGCAATATTTTTTGCGCACTTTTTGGGAGAAATTTACGATTTTACAACTTCGGTCAATTAACTTCCTTTCACTCCCTAATTCTAGGCACATTATTTAACTTATCCTTATATTTTATCCATCAACCTACCCATTATCGTCGTCTTTACAAGTGATAAACTCGCTTGATTAAAATTGTACGTTATATTGCTGAAATTTCACCTCTAGCGAAAATACATAGACGTCGCGCATAGTATTGGGGTTTGAAATTGCGTAACTTGTAACACTGTAAACGACGGGTGTTAATACTTTTGGTCATTTCATCATTTTGGCGGTATGGATTTTTCTGGCAATTTGTATCAAGCTTCTATAACTTCCCGTGATGATGTCACACAAAATTCATTAATAAATTTCTAATTTACTGACTGTTCCGATTGTTTGTAAAATAGGAATATTTTCTACATCATTCAATTAAGGTTTTTTTCCATCCTCGAAATTTTAATGGTTCAAAGCAAAAACTGGGTACTACTAAACGGAGTACGCTTGAGTACGTCAGAGTACTTTAGAGTATGCTACGAAAATTATGTTATTTAATGCAATGAAATTGTTTATTTATGTATGTACAACTTGATTGAACATTATTATAAACTTGTATTGCAATATTTGTTTCTAATATTTGTTTTTTGCTATACTTTGAGAAGAAACTAGTTAACATCAATAATTCAACGCATTAAAGATTACTAATTAATACCCCAATCTCGATTACTACTAAAGACATGTAAATTTATCAAATATTAGATTATTTGCATGTGTAATTATTTTGCACACTCACATATGCCCTTATCAACATTTTTGACAGATTGAAAATTGTTTGAAAATTGAAAGTAAACATTTTTAAAAATTATTTTACTGAACAATATTTATCATTACACCTATTGAAAAGCATTCTTATAGTAAAAACTTTTGTTCTATACTTGGCATGAATTTATAAATTCATAAGTTTTTTTGCAAAAAAAAAATGCCATCATAGAAGGATGGAAATAATTTAAAACAAAGTACGGGAAAATGAAAGTTGAAGTTGGTGATGAGTTCATAATAGATATAGCACCAAAAGGTTAGTCTAAAGTCATTAACTAGATCTTAACCATAAAACCACACTTAAGTCCCTGTAATTAACGCACATGCTTTTTTGGCAATATCGCAAAGATATTCTATTCTATTGGACCTAAATGTAAACTAAGTAAACCCAAAAAAATTATTTTAGGGGGCGCTTTGACCAATTTAACTATAGATTTTAGTGTAAGAAACTTTGTTTTTCTATATTAGAAAAAAAAAATTCTGGGGGCGCTTTGACCAAAATCAGGGGACATTTTGACCAAAATTTGGGGGCGGTTTGGAAACTTCGTTTTTCAATAAAATATGTCAGGGGGCGCTTTGACCAAAATCAGGGGACATTTTGACCAAAATTTGGGGGCGGTTTGGAAACTTCGTTTTTCTATAAAATATGTCAGGGGGCGCTTTGACCAAAATCAGGGGACATTTTGACCAAAATGTGGGGGCGGTTTGGAAACTTCGTTTTTCTATAAAATATGTCAGGGGGCGCTTTGACCAAAATCAGGGGACATTTTGACCAAAATGTGGGGGCGGTTTGGAAACTTCGTTTTTCTATAAAATATGTCAGGGGGCGCTTTGACCAAAATCAGGGGACATTTTGACCAAAATTTGGGGGCGGTTTGGAAACTTCGTTTTTCTATAAAATATGTCAGGGGGCGCTTTGACCAAAATCAGGGGACATTTTGACCAAAATGTGGGGGCGGTTTGGAAACTTCGTTTTTCTATAAAATATGTCAGGGGGCGCTTTGACCAAAATCAGGGGACATTTTGACCAAAATCATGTGGGGGCTTTGGTTTGTGGGGAAACTTTCGTTTTTCAATAAAATATGAAAATTCTGTAATTGAGGTCTTTGACTCTCTCAATCAGGGTACATTTTTATTTTGTTTTGTTTAGGCGGTTTGGAAACTTAATTTTTATCTATAAAATATGTGAGGTAGGGTGCTTTATTTGACCAAAATTAGGGATTTATTTGAGAAAATCATGGTACGCATTTGACCAAAATCTGGAAGAACGCTTTGACCGGGACGGTTTTCTTTATTGAAAAGACTGGAACGGATTTCTGAAATTATTATTTCTTTTAATTGGTTGTGGGAGAAATTATCTTTTTAGAGAAGTCTTAGTTAAAACATAACTTGATGATTGTCTCAAGCGATTATGTTTAATAGATAATTAATTTAATTACTGTTGTATGAATAGTTAGGGTATTTCTCAAGAGTGATTTTCCTCAGAGAAATTTTAATAGGAACTTTTAGATTCTTAAGGGTGATTTTCCCCTGAGAATTCTATAGTTTATTCATTTCTAATTATTGATAAGAAACTCAGGAGTGATAGCCTCAGATGAGTTTAGTTTTTGAATTCTATACAAGAAGTGATTGACCTTCTTGTTTTTGACATTTACTCATCCCGAGTTGTCCCCCTTTAATTGTGTTGAAATATTGGTCGATCTCGTCGTCGTGTTAATTTAATGTAACGGTTTTTCGCACATGAGTGAAGTCCTCAGTCGCGTTGTTTTATGTATTTTTCTTGTTATGTTGATTTGAATGAATAAATTTATTAACTTTATGAACTTTAGTCTCATTTACAAGTCTTTAAGACTTCTGTTCAGGTTTTGGTCAGGTCATTGTAAAAGTATTGAGAGCCGAGTAGGTCAGGTCATTTTATTATTATTTTTATAAGAGGTCATATTTGAGTTTCCTTGCTGATGGGAGATAATCAGCTGGTGGCAGCGCTACTGGGAAAAGGACTTTCCCGCTACAATATATTCGGAACAGATTGAACAGTTCATCTCCTTCAGATCTGTAACGTACGTTAGATGATTTTTATAAATAAAATTCTCTTCAAATGATATAGAACTCAACACAAAAAAAGGTTTCAGAAGACGGAAGTGCGAAGGTGCGAGGGTGAAAATGCAAAGACGCAATAGTGTGAAGGTGTGAGGGCAAAAATGACAAGTTGTGAAGGAGCGATACTAGCATTGCTTCTTCACCTTCACCCTTGCACCTTTGCATTTCACTGCTGCATCTCTGTCCGTTTGTTCTTTTGCCTTCGCAACTTCGCCTTTGCAACTTTGCATTCCTGCATCTTCATCCTAAAAGCAAGAGTGCAAAGGTGCGATTGGAACCAACGGAACATCATATTTATTAACTTCCTCATTTCCTGATATTAACAGGTTAAATTTGATATCTGTCCATTGCGTTTCAAAGAATATAATGTGCTCAAACTATTAAATGCATTAAAGAGATTTTTAAACTACAAAATACCATGTTCTCAAAAATACAATAAATAAGAAAAACGTTTAATATCGACATATTAGTTTGTTTATATACCTGAAAGTGGTCATCTTGGGTATATTTTCATTCCGATCTGACATTGAGCGTCGTTAAAAATCAATGACTTGTTCGATATCTGACTACATGTATATCTTTCTCGAAGTAAATGACGAATCAAAGTTGATTTGATATTTGACATGAGCTCAAAAATGGCCCAAAAAATTAAAGTTTCAACAACTAATGCACCTCCCGGCGTTTTCCGTCCAATAGTGTCATAACAGGAAACAAATTTCAGAAAGTAAAGAAAAAAGATTTCTGCGGTTAAAGTTGAAAAATCCGGAATATTAAAAATCAAAATTATAAAAGATTTAAAAGGAAATTAGTTTAATGGACTTTATACCTAAATTCAATGAAATTCTGCAGTGTAATTAATAATTATCAAAACACATGACAGACACACAAACAACAATCTCAAAAATCTTAATCGCGGCTGTGTTTTTCGATACATAATTTTTTAAGCATCCTAGTGAATCAGAACAGAGAACTTCACCTTGTCGCACAGCTTCCGGAAAAGAAACCCAAATGTAGACTGTGGAATGTGTAGCGTTTTAAGCGAATTTCCATGAAACCACACGAATTTTTTAACTTATCTTTCATCAAAATATGACTAGTCAAAGGTACTTTTTGTAATTTGAAATGTATCTTGAATTTGTTTCTTAAAATGAAATTTAAAGTAGTGTTTTGAAACTTCATCAATCAGATGCATTGGATAAGATGTTTTCTTTCCAGTTGTTATTGTTGAATTAGTATAAACCGATTCCTTACACATTATATTGTTGAAACATTATTTTTTGACATAAGAACAATGTTCAAACGTTTCTTTTAACAAAAGCCTATTGTTCATATTGTATACAGGATATGATGCAAAATGATAACAAAAGGTTCCCTAAGTGAGCAGATAGTCATTTGAGCTAAACAGAAGTTTAGCCTACATGGTATAATGTACTGGTATATGCTATGTCTTTGAGTAGATTTGTGATATTTAAAGAATTTCCTTGAATAATCTTTATTTTTATCTGACAGATAGTGAATAAGAAACTAATTATTTGACCAGATTTATTTCTGATGGGAGGAACTGTAACAAAGAACCCAGATGGCAATTGTTTTTAAATGTTTAATTCTTCTCTTAAAAAATAAGATATCCATGTTTTCAGTTGTTTTGTGTATTCTTACATTTACTTACAATTTTTTTCACTATAGTGAGTTAACAAAATTAAGTGATGAGAGTTTGGCCCGGCCACCCGATGAGGTTTTTGATATAATTTGTAAAATAGGAAGAGGGTAAGACAGCAGGATGTTTATGGCAGTTTTGTTTTGTGTCATGCATATCTTTGCTTGTAGCATTTTCCTGGTGATTTGCACGTCACAACAGGTGACGCAGGATTCACACAGCAAATTACCAACTTATTTGAAGATTTAGTTATAGTGTCATTTGCTGTGTGATGCATTACCCAACTTTTGTATGGATTTCCAGTCCACACCTTTATAATAAAAATGGATTTATGTCATTATATTGCATTGTTAATGTTAAACTTTTAGGCTTTAAAGTATTTTTTTTAAAAGGAAAAAAAAATTAAATAAAATGACATATTTTCATGCATAATGTGCATTTTGCCTGATTTTTTGCATGTATGTTCATAATGTAGTAATATTAATTTGTAGATTCTTTTGACTGTGTTCAGGGAAATATTAACAATTTTGTGATATTTCATCACAGTTGAATGATGTGAAGCTATAAACTGGTTCATAAATGATGACTCTTTTAATTATAGTCATTGGTGATACTGTATGTGTACTTTAAAAAGCAGGTTTCATGATTTAGTGACTTTGACACAGACATCAATTTGAAAATTCATGAATAAGAAATTACTTATAAATACAATACAAGACATGGGCGTGTGTAGCGGTAATTCATGTTTACACAAACAACTTTATTCCCAGATAAATGCATTAAATTTTGAATACACCAATTTAAGTACACGTACAGTTATTTATGTTTTAAAAAGATCAATTTAAATTCATACCATGAACACAGTATAGTAAGAATGAACTGAAAAATTCAGGACTTGACATACATTACATCATTGTGTCATGTTCTTTCTTATGTTTTTACCAATAGCTTTGACAGATTGCTTGCTTTAGATTGCTTTTAAACAAAATGGAGAAGAATAATAAAATCAAAGGCTAGAAGGCCAAATCATTTATACAAAATCCAATGAAATTATTCCAAATGTAAAAAGATGTAATGTTTTAGTCCCTTTAAACATGTTATTTTGCATCTGCTTATACAGGAGCATCAAAGACATGCCTTACTTTGTTGGTTTGCTTGTAAAAAAAAACTTGCTAAATTTGACTGTTCCATGTTTATATCAAATAAGTAAGAGTCAAAAGCAATCATAAAGTTTTTGTCAAAGTTTGTATGACATGTATAGATGTAAAGTATTGTACAGAAGTGTAACATTCTTGTAACTGATTGATGTAATGCATGTTAATGTGATACTCTGTCATGTATAGTCCTGGATGTCATTCCTGTAGAGAACTAATACACCAAGGACTTTTTCATGGCTTTAGCTTTACACTTTTGGTTTGCTTTCCCCCCCTAGTGACCCCCTAAAGCGACTCCCAGAGGACGACCTTACAAGGTCACCAGAAGAAGTTTTTGATATTCTAGGCAAATTAGGAGAAGGGTAAGATCAAAAATTCAAAAAGCACTTTTTAAAAGAACTAATTCTGTTTTCAAGAAATTATATATATTACCTAGCTAATAACTTCGTATATGAATTTCATGGTGATAAAAAGCATTAAAAAGTAGAATTGTTGGGTATTTGTGGGGTAATACGTGTATCTATAAAAATAGAACTCTGAAGCTTTAGCATCACTCTTGGCTAGTGTTGTAAGAATGGCATTCTGCGCCTCATTTGCCATTGTTTTTCTGCTTTTAGCCTGATGGCGCTATGCATGATGTTGTTAAATAGTTTTTGCCTTAGCATGGGTTGTAGCTCTGAGGCAAGGTTTTTGAAATTATTTTTCCATTTTCCCTTCTTTGTATAATTTTTTTTGTCAGCAATAGATATTTTTTTTTCGTTTTATATTCTAATACACTAGTAAGAGATGGAAGGATAAAATATGCAAAAACTATAGTGAGAAATAAAGACAATTTAAAATTTTTGTGGGGAATTGAGTAGATATACATTATATATTGAATTATCTAGGAGAACAATAGATTGAGGAATTCTAAAATCAATATTATACTTAACTCTCGAATGCCATGTTCTATGATACTAACTATTCTGATACAAATTAATTTTGAAGTAATGCTACCTAATATAAACAGTTTTAATACTGACTTATCCACATTCTTAGTATGGAAGTAATCACTTCAATCACTGACTGCCTCTTACTGATCTGCCTCTCTCTAGTACTCAATCAAAGTGCTCTTTTGATAAAATCTACAAGTACATTGATCAGTGCACGTTTAAGTATTAAATTAAAGCAACCTGATTTTCAGATATTATCAGATAAAACTCTTTCAACTGCACTCTGGATATTTTTAATTTTCATAAAATATGAAATAAAAATAAAAAGTGATTGAAAAATTCACAAGATTGTATGACTACATTTTTTGATTGGTTCTGTAGATGGAGGTGTATAACTTTTGGTTGTATCTGTAGATCCTATGGCAGTGTTTATAAGGCTCTCCACAAGGAGTCCGGCCAGGTGCTGGCCATTAAACAGGTCCCGGTGGACACCGACCTACAGGAGATCATCAAAGAAATCTCCATCATGCAGCAATGTGACAGCGTCTTCATAGTCAAGTATTACGGCAGTTACTTCAAAAACACAGACCTATGGGTAAGGAGAGATTGTAAAGGACATTCAGTACAATTTGATACGGGTAGCTCAAAGTCTAGAGGAAAAGTACAACTTAAACTATTAGGTACCTAAATTATAAATATTGCTTAAACATGACAATTCATCAAGTAGACTCATGGATAGGTTTTTTATGATTTATTTTTTTTTTGGTGGGGGGGGGGGGGGGGAGAGTGAGTCCATGTTTTCCAGGAAATAAAACCAATTTGATTTCAACAAAATATTTAATTAGAAATAATCCCTTCCCAAAGATTTCCTGTCATTATCTGTTGAGATGTATAATGTTGTTTGTGTTTGTTATTACAGATTGTGATGGAATATTGTGGTGCTGGATCTGTATCAGATATTATGAGATTACGCAATAAAACAGTAGGTCCACCATTCACTTTCGTCATTGGTGTCTGTCTACAATGTTAAAATTATATACGAGGGTTGATCCAAAAGTTCGTGGAATTTCTTTCTAAAATTTTATAGCGATTTGATGAAAGCAAACAACAGGCATATTCATAATATACCATTATTTGATTTTACAAATTACCAATGTGGTCAATATTAGTTGTGAAACCCGGGGGATTAGAAAAGTTAGATATGTCACGTCACGTTATACATGCAACTCACGCTAATTTAAATTGAATTCGTAATTCTACAAAAAGCTATTTTTTTCTTTAAAAAGCCTGGGTTTCAACTTACCTTCATTTTTTACAGTTTCAAATTACTACCCATCTTTCCATATGATGTTCCAGTAATGATCCAATTTCAGTAGCAATAACATTAACAGTTGGCAGCCGACAACGTTTGTTTTAATTTGTTATCTGCACAGAACAGTTGTTTAATCAACGTCCATGGCAGTTCTATTTTCTGTTCTCATGCCACCGTGCCACTAAATGCATTTTTTCCCAGGCTTTTGTCTATTATATACGCGTTTAAGAAAGAATGGTCCCGGATTTTTTACAAAACGTATGACTTTACCGAAATTTGACGTTGTGTAACAACTTAAAGGTGAACCATAAATAATAAATTAATAAACTAAATATCCATTAAAACCAGTAAAACTTTCACACAAAGGTTTATAAAAGACCTAGCAATCATAATAATGACATAATTTTCGTTTATATACCACACAGACCGGTTTAAATCTCAGGGTTAGGGTTAGGGTTAGGGTTATTAAGAATTAAAATAAAATGAACAATGTTATTAAAACAACCGTTATATATAGGGTTACTATCAAATATATTTAAACTATTTTTCAATTTAAAATATTCATCAAGTGTCTATATTTTCATTATTAATTTTCAACCAATTCAACTTAAAAATGAATAAAATATGAAAAAATTCCACGAAATTTTGGATCAACCCTCGTATTCCTCCCAAATACATATAGCTTGTGAACTGGAAAGATTTAAATCCTCTACATACTATCATCAATCATCATTTCTCAGTTTTTTTTCCTTTCAAGAAAAACGTGTCCCCATTCCAATATTTTTCAAAATGAATATAAGAATGTGCCCTCAAAAGTGTATTTTATATTTGTTTTTTTTTTTCTTCAGTTAACTGAGGATGAGATAGCAACAATACTCTATGATGCTTTGAGGGGTTTGGAGTATTTACATTCCAGGAGAAAAATCCACAGGGACATCAAGGCAGGGAACATCCTACTGAACACAGAGGGCCACGCTAAACTGGCCGACTTTGGAGTGGCTGGACAGCTTACAGTAAGTCTGGCTTAGTTTTAAAGTTGTGTGAAGAAGTATGGATATTGATCAGTTTCTTTTCCCTAAAACAACTTAAATCACCACCTTAGTAATTAGCCCAGTGTATGTGTGAAAGACATGTTGGTATTAACTACTGACATTTTAAGCTAAGCCAACATAAAACTGTTACTGTATTTTAGGACACCATGGCCAAAAGGAATACTGTGATAGGAACACCCTACTGGATGGCTCCAGAGGTGATCCAAGAAATCGGCTATGACTGTGTGGCTGACATCTGGAGTTTAGGTATGGTACACTGTAATCTAAACTGATGAACAGAATATATATAAATACAGACAGAGGTATTCCACTCTGTTTATCTGCATATTGGGGTTCTTATTACATTATATTGGTATGTAAGCTCAGTTTAATGACCTGATTTATCATTTTAGGGATAACAGCACTGGAGATGGCCGAGGGTAAACCACCTTACGGGGACATTCATCCAATGAGGGTAACTTACTTACAGAATCTGTCTGAATCAAGGTTGTTTTTATAAAAGTTAAATTAAAGGGGCTCATGAGCTATTTTATGATAATTACAGTTGAAAAGAGTTTTTAAAATAGAAATAGGATTTATTTGGACAATTTTTAAAATGATTTATTTATTTATTTATTATTATTTTTTTTTTTTTTTTTTTTTTTTTTTTGCAATATTCATGATTCCCACAAAACCTCCACCATCATTCAGAAACCCAGATAAATGGTCTCCCGAGTTTATAGACTTTGTCTCAAAGTGTCTCGTCAAAAATCCAGAGCAAAGAGTTTCAGCAGCTGAGCTTATGCAGGTAAGACTTTAAAAGTTCATTTGATTCTCCAAACTCATTTAATCTGTGTTTAAGAGACCAAAATTTACATTTTGTGTGATTAATTATGACATCCTTTGTAGCATGAGTTTATCAAAAACGCAAAACCTCGTGAAGATCTGCTCAGAATGATCAACGACGCCAAAGAAATCCAGGCAGCTCAAAACAGCATCATCACCAACGGCGATGACTCGGTGTGTATCTCACAGAAAATTCTAATATCTCAGTTGTTTGTAGATTGTGAGATTGATCTTGTAAATTTTACTGCTTGGTTCTTCTAACTTTGTATTTAAGTTATATATATCATTCTGTTATTTGTGTTGTAGGATGGGGAAGATGATGTTGACCGAGGATCAACGATGAAGAAAACTGACGACTCAACCATGAAATCTACTTCAGGTAATTAATGTTTACAGTACACTAAAATAGATTATGTAGGAATTCTTTAAAAAAAAGGTACCCTCAAATGCTTTAAGTCTGATTTTAATTAAAATAAGTAGGCCTATACAAGTAACTAATCCAAGCTTATTTATTTTGAAGTCCAGGTGCTGCTCTTCTCTTTCTTACTAAAAGTAAAAACCTACAGAGCTACAGTCTTTTCAGAGTCTTCTGGTTTTAAAACTTAGCTTACATGTAATCATAAGCATATGATATAATGTTATAAAGCACTAATGTGGAGTCATAAATTTTCAGATACTCTTGTGAAAAGTGAGAGTGGAACGGTTGTTGTAAACAGTGAAGCCAGCACGATGGTGGAGTCTGATCTGGGTACACTCGTAATTAACGAGGACTCCGAGGATGATTCAACCATGAAACGTAAGTCTGTTTTTTTATATTAAGTAATTTAAATAAATGATTTTTTTTCTTTTTTGTTTGTGCTCTTCCATTCATTTAAATTGTTTTCTGACAAAGGATGTGACACAGTGGTGAAAAAGCCGCCCGACTCGGGCTACAAAAGCAGCAGCAGTAGTAGTAGTAGCAGTAATTATATTAAATCTTTTATTTCCGCTCTATAACCACGTCATACCTACATGTACATATCTACAATGTTTCAGATCTTTTGATTTTCTTTCCCATTTCTGTTTACATGTACATGATTTGTTTGAGGACTTTCAGTCTTGATAATGACTAGATCTCAGTGAAATGAATGCTCTCTCAGTGAACATAAGATTTTATGCATGGATTTCTGTCTCATTTCAATACTATTGCAACACTCGTATTAAAAACATTTTAATTCTTACAATCTAAAGACTTTATCAATGAATATTAATGTTTTACAGTACTTTATCAGTGTATTGGGAAAAAAAAAAAGTTTCTAGTGCTGATTGTTTTCAACTTCAGATATTTTAATTACTTGTATGTAGTCCATGTATTTCAATGAATGTCATCTGTTCTAAAAAAAAATGTCAACTTCACACAGTGATTTGTCATAAGTGAAAAATTATGTACATTTTACATGGAATAATTAAATCTATCTTTCAGGAAAGTTTTCTTTATTGAATATTGCTGTTACTAGTGAAAGATTTTGAAATCTCAAAATTTTACTTTGATATTTAAAAAAAACAACAACAACAGTAGAAGTTCTATTTTGTCAATAATCTTTCTGGCAAAGATACTATTCCATATCAGGATTTTACTACGTAAAAAAATGTTTGTATGTGTAAATGTCATGTGTGATTAACAGGGCATGACACAGCTAATGATGGCAAAGACAAATACAGACCCTCCTTTCTCGATCATTTTGAGAAGAAGGAACAGGACAAGGTTGCCCCCCCTCGGGCCCAGCCCCACGTGACCCCGCCCCTCAAACACGTCACGCCGCCGCACCATTCCCAAAGGTCTTTCATTGATGGAGATTTTGATTTCGTAAGTATGGGTTAGGCAATTTTAGATGTTTTGTCACTGAAAATAACAACTTAAATTTTTGTTATTGTTTGATTAATACTTCCATTGTAATAAGCTTTAAGTTGGAAAAAGTGAAAAACAACATAACTTTTTTCGTTAGTTTAATATTTGATAATGACAGTCACTGTTGTGTTGTGATTTCAGGTGTATCTGGTTTCTTTCTATATCTTTTTGTCTTGAAATGAAATATATAACAAAGCATTGATCCTGCATGGCTTATGCATGTTTGAACTTGCTCATTTCTGAATCTGATATGGAAATTGTACATGTACAAAGTTTCTACAGAGGAAATGATTAACTGTATTTTGCTTTCAGCTAAGAAATCTTCCGTACGAGGAACTTGAATCCAGATTGTCTGACCTTGACCCAGAAATGGAGAGAGAAATTGACGAATTACGAGCGCGCTACCAGGCAAAGAGACAGCCCATCTTAGATGCCATCGATGCAAAAAAGAAAAGGCAGAATAATTTCTAAGATCTACTCAGGAATTCTTTCCTGTGTTTTTAAACTGTGATGTATGAAGAGAATGGATTTCTTGAAAATTTAAGCCTCATTGTAGTAGATGGTGCTGAAAATTGTTTGGGGAATTGTGATAATATTTTTAATAATGAGTTTTTGTTAAATCATGTTTCAGTTTGGTGTAGAAAAATCTTAAGTGAGATAATTTTCTTTATCATTGCAGCTGATTTTTTTTCTCCTGTGTTACAATTTTCATTCAAGATCATTTGTTTGAAATTGTATTTGACTATGTATACATTTTGAGTATATTGCTAAACAGTTTATATTTGAATGTCTCAGCCATTGACGAGGCTGTTTGAAGATTTGGTTTGAGGTTTGGTTTTTGTCTTCAGCTGTTACAAATCAGTAGTGCTTCCTCCTTGTTTATTTTCTGAGAAGTTTTATCCAGTACTTAAATCGTTACTGGTAATCAATATGTTGCTCACATCTATCAGAACAAAACTGAACTTTTATTATTACATTTATATTATTCAAAAGGCAAACAGTTTGTCTACATACATTCTAATAATTGAACTTTGGTAAATGGTCTTTTTAAGCATCTAAAGAGTAATTTCTTGAAAATATCAGAGTTTGGTTAAAGGGAGATAAGTTTTATAAACTTGTAATTGTTTTTTGTAAGCCCACCAGCTTTAAAGCTTGTGAATATTTTTTAAATAGTTAAAGGTGAATTTGTACTTTATTTAACCATTTAAGTGTGTGGATTTGTACTAGCTTATTATGAACTCTGTATACTGTTAACAAGTGTGTTGCTGATTCTCAGATATATTTTACAAATCATCCAGATCATCAATACACCGTGGAAAATCATTTATCTCATCAAATACATTATCATTGCTGGTGGAATTGAAACAGATGTTTTAGTATATTTCCATTGAAGTAACAATTCAGTGGACTGATTTTCATTAGAATTTTATTGGATGTGGTTCTCACAACCATTGTTATGCCCCCTTTCGAAGAAGGGAGGGCATATTGCTTTGCTGCTGTCTGTCGGTCGGTCGGTGAAATATATAACAAAGCATTGATCCTTGGTCTTTTGCATTTAGTTTCTGTTCATTTTCTTCATTAACCATTGCTCATACTGAAATGAAATTTGGCTATACTAGGTATATCACATGAATATCTAGGTCAAGTTCTGTTTTGGAGAGAGAAATTACCATAATTGACAGAGACATGCCCCTTGGATTCGAGCGAAAAATTCCAGTTATTTCAGTTTCCATTCATTTTCTTTGGAGAGGTTGCACATATTGAAATAAAATTTGGTATACAGGTTAATCACATGAATATCTAGGTCAAGTTCTGTTTTGGGAATTGCACCATAATTGACAATGAGTTATGTTAAATCCTTTGGACTTAGAAAAATTCCATATTTTTGCAGTTTCCGTTCATTTTCTTTGGAGAGGTTGCACATATTGAAATGGAATTTGGTATACAATTAGTCATTGAATAGCTAGATCAAGTTTTGTTTTGTATATTCTAACCATAATTGACAGAGTTATGCCCCTTGGACTTAGAAAAATTCCATATTTTTGCAGTTTCCGTTCATTTTCTTTGGAGAGGTTGCACATATTGAAATGGAATTTAGTATGCCAATTAGTCAGATGAATATCTTGGTCAAGCTATGTTTTGGCAGTTTCCGTTCATTTTCTTTGGAGAGGTTGCACATATTGAAATGGAATTTGGTATACAGATTAGTCAGGTGAATATCTAGGTCAAGCTATGTTTTGGGTACGATCGCACCATAATTGACAGAGTTATGCCCCTTGGACAAATAGAAAAATTTGTATTTTTGCAGTTTAAGTGTGTGGATTTTCTTTGGAGAGGTTGCAACATATTGAAATGGAATTTAGTATGCCAATTAGTCAGATGAATATCTTGGTCAAGCTATGTTTTGGGTATGATCACACCATTTTTGACAGAGTTATGCCCTTTTGGACTTAGAAAAATTCCAATTTGTGGGGGAGGGAGGCATAAGTGTTTTACAAACATCTCTTGTTTATAAATATGTTTTAATTAGCCTGAAAGATACTGAAGGACAGTTTATTATAGTGTAATTCATATAACTTTCAGTGTCAAAATGTCTTAAGTTTAATGCTAAATGTTGGGATGATATTATTGTAATTGACCTCAGATACTGATTTCATTATTTCCCAACTGCTCTAGTCTTGGAATCAATGTGTACACCAAAACTTCACTGTTATATCATGATCATCATTTGTCATATCGTTTACATGTATGTCAGTGGCCAAACCACAGTGCCATGATATTTCCTATGGTTGGATTATTGCCAGTGCATAACTTGAAACCAAATAAACAAATAACTTCTTTTCAATTGTAATTACAATGTTTGTTAAATTGTTATAGAGAGAAAAAAGACAGAAAAGGTCACAATTCCCTAATAAAGATAAAATCTTTAAAAAAAAGAAAAAACATGTACATGTGTAGTTTCATTTTTTTTCTTTGTTAATCAAATATTTATTTCAAAGTCACATATATAGAAATGTAATTTTGAGTGAATAATCTTTGTCAATAAGAGGAAAATTTGGCTGTTTTTTACATTTACAGTTTTTATTCCTGTTTTCATTGATTTGAGTACATTTCTGTTTAGAGTATACATTATTGTGCAATAATATAGACATGTGAGTTGTACATTTTAAATATTCTAGATTAGTATTAATAGATACTTAATATATGTTTGTTCTAACTAAATGAATTTGTGCAAGGGGAACACAGATTGATATGAAACCAGACAAGAAATATCTTGATGACTATTTCAACATGTTTACTTGTAACACCTATGTTTATTTTTGTATGGAAAAGTTTAAAGAATTAGATGGCAAGATACATTTGGATAGTCAGTTAATTTACTCAGACTTTTAATGGCATCTCTTTCATTCACATTCATTGTTCTTTGTTCATGGATTGCATATCATGAATGGTGTACCTTGTTCTGATGAAATAAAGCTTACGATCTCTGATATCATATTGTGTTTATTGGAGTAGGGTCCTGCACCCTTTCAATTGGAATTTCTTAATTTTATAAGTTGTTGGATATGGAAATATTGATGACTTGAATTATAGTTTACTGAATAAGATTGTAAGATTATCCCCTGTTCTTTGTATGTTATCTAAGAATTCAAAATCACATTATTTAAAACAAAAGCGCTGATATATTCATTCAGTTTATAGTTACGCAACTATGATTTTTACCTCAATAGAATTGATGTTCAGTTGGGACTTTGTCCTTTTGATGGATCTTCAAACACTGAAATTGAAACAAGCAAATTACTGGTAAAAGAATTGTGCGTCCCCCCCCCCACCCCCCCGAGTTCGGTGTCTTTGTGGGTGAAATGTCATTTTTTTTAATGGCATATAGTGGCAAATAGGAATTCCCTATCGTGTCATTCAAAAGTTTTCACCAGAATTGATTTTTTTTTTTAGGTCAAACATCAAGGTAAGGGGTGAGAATTAAATCATAGCATGCTCAGAAATATCTTAATTGTCACATGTAATGCACATGTTAAATATGAAAGCCCTATCTCTTCTCAATCAAAAGTTATAAGGAAAAAATAAGTAAACACTTTTGAAAAGTAGGTAAACCATCTAGGTTCAAGGTCATGGGACCAAAAATTGTATTTAGAAAGATCTTGCCACACACAAGTAATTAATATACATGTAAAATATGAAAGCCCAATTTTTTTTTCATTCAGAAGTTATGACCAAGGTTAAAGCTTTTTTAAAAGTAGGTCAAACGTCAAGGTCACTGGGTCAAAAATCACAGTGTAATTACTGTTAGAAAGGCCTTGTCACAGGTAATACACATACTTAAATATCAAAGCCTTATCAATCTCTTCTCATTCAAAAGTTATGAGCAATTTTGTGTGTTTTTTGGATATATTTGTCAATTTTTCAAAGTAGGGAGAGCCGAGAGGTGAAACACTACTGCCGAAACAATGATTACACCGTCAAAAAATGTTTGAGGCACTTTGATATCGCCCTTTATAATGAGGAGCAATTGGTACTTTTGAAATAGTCCCTAATATGAAAGACCGACAACTCTTGGTCGACATCGAGTAAACTTCCTTTTCCGGTATAATTCGCCATCATGGGTACCGTTGAATTTCGTAGCTCTAATAATCGAAAATAATCTCTTATCGAGAATGTAGACAGGACAAATTTCATTTTATTTTTTTAACCAACAATCTTAGATAGTGTATATATGATATTGTATTTTAATTGGAGTACCCGGGTTAGACAGAGATAATCACATAGAATTTGTTTATGCTCCCTACGAATGTGAATGTGACTAAAATGGGTAGCGAAACCCGGGCCGGGCCGGGAATTTCGAAACTGATAACCGGGTTTTTGATAATTACGAAATAAATACTCATTTTTTCTTCATGAAATTTACGGACATAGTTTAATATCCTAAGAATGGCCTTTGCTGAAAGTTTTAAGTCAAAATGTTGTGTTTTTCAATGATTATCGCCGATTGTCCTCTTCCAAGTGACTAAAATGGGTAGCGAGCCCGGATTACTCATTTTGGCGATTTAAACTTAATTTCGGCAACATATTTACAATAATTTCATTTGGATCTTTGAAATTGAACTTAAACTTCCTAAAATATATAACTGTTGCAGTAATTAATCACAATTATTAAAAATATACGCATTTTTTGTGTACCCGGGATTGGTCAAAACCGGATACGTTCACCCGGGACGAACCTTTTATTTCCGAAATACTTATCATAGGATGTTCGCTATGGGAAACCACACGTGGGTATCCTCGTGGACATTGATGGTAACTGAACAGTATGAACACGAACTCAGAATTTTAAATTAATGATATAAATATCCCAGCTTATATATATCTGTATACCAAGCTGGCTGTGCAGTTTAAATCATATTTACTGAATCTTAATTAGTCTAAAGAATCTTCCAACCAGATGTGCTGACATTACACTTCCTTATTAATTTCAAATTAATACCTGAACACCAAGATAATTGTGCTAAAAAAAACTTGTCAATGACATATAATTAAAATATAATTTGACTGTAGTTTGATTTGCATATTTTAAAATTTATTTTCAATTAATTTCTTAGACGCATCGGTCAAAGATTGAAATAATAATCTCTGGCAATCCGGAATTATTAAGTTTGTCCCGGGCAAACGCGTTCGGTTTTGACCTGTCCCGGGTCTATAAAAAATGACAAAAACCCTAATAATCGACATTTAATTTCATAATGATTGAACAATTTAGCTATTTGAAGGTAAGAGACAACCAATAAATGCAAGTATCACCTACATTTTCGATGCATTAAGCTTAAAATCGCCAAAATGAGTAAACCGGGCTCGCTACCCATTTTAGTCACTTGAAAATGGACAATCGGCGATAATCATTGAAAAACACAACATTTTGACTTAAAACTCTCAGCGAAGGCAAAACTTATAGTTATAAACTATGTCTGTAAATTTCACGAAGAAAGAACGAGTATTTATTTCGTATTTATCAAAAACCCGGTTTGCAGTTTCGAAATTCCCGGCCCGGCCCGGGTTTCGCTACCCATTTTAGTCACACTCTACGAATGTCAACATTTGTGTAAAAATCACATGTATTCATGGTTCTTTTTAATTTTTGGTGTCAACTTAAAGGCACTGTAAGCCGGATGTAGCTCACTGATTTGAAGAGAAGACCTTTCAATATGAAACACTGACAGATAATTACATGCATGCCTTTGAACAAATTAGGATAGCAAGGGGGGGGGGGGCACCGTCCTGAAACCAAGGACTTTGAATTTTTTACCCAAATTCCTTGCTCTGTCGACTTAAATGTGATCATACAATTACCAAAGTATTATTATGGATTTGTTACATTAAATAAGATTATTAATGATGATGGCATCAAGTTCATTCATTGAGATATTTCTTTCTGAGATATCTTGTTCTTTTTTAGGTATATCTCGTGATAAATGGCACAAGAGGAGGAGTACTGGTGGGCGTATGACCCAGATCCGCAAGAAGAGGAAGTTTGAATTGGGTCGCCCTGCTGCCAACACTAAGGTGCAAATTAAATGGAGTCAATAATTGAGGAATCTCGGATCATTCGAATACCAAAGATAAGGATAGAATGCATAACAGGAGTAACTCGTTTGATAAAATATGTGTAGCTTTTCAACATTCTGAATATTGTCCTATTGTGATCTATTGAATATCTATGTTTTATTGGTAGCAGATTTAGAAAGGGTAACATTATAGTAAATATACTTTTACTGTTAGTGTCTGATTGCATACATCTTTTTAGTGAAGTATTTGGTTATATATTTCTCATTTGATTTTCAGTTGGGAGCCCAGAGAATCCACACAGTGAGGACTATGGGTGGCAACAAGAAATTCCGAGCCCTCCGTCTTGACACAGGAAACTTCTCTTGGGGGTCAGAGGCCATAACAAGAAAGACGCGTATCATTGACGTCATTTACAATGCCAGTAACAATGAACTGGTTAGAACCAAGACTCTGGTCAAGTCCTGTATTGTCCAGATTGATGCCACCCCTTTCAGACAGTGGTACGAAGCTCATTATGCCAAGCCCCTGGGAAGGAAGACTGGAGTCAAGTTGGTAAGATTTCCTTAGTAGCAGGTTCTTGTGGTCATTGCTAAAGGACCAAAGTGATGATTGTTTTTATCACCATCTTTCGGCTGATGCCAATGATGTATTACAAACATAACTGATCGGTCTGCAATGATTACTTTATCAGCAGTGTCTCATTTCCGTGTACTTTGTGCAGCCAGGCAAAAGTCAGGGTTCAAGGGATCTATTTTGATGTGAAAAATAAAGTATACCCAACAGTAGAAGGGAATATTTGGTTGATTTTTTCAGTCAGGGGTGATTTTGTGGATATTGATAAAATTATTACTGAAACTACTTGGTCTTTTAGGGAGGAACCAGTTAAACTTGACAGAGAATACTAATGGGTAACTCACCAAAATATTTTGTTTTAAATTTGTGTTGGTGATAAATATTCAGTGGGATGATTTGAACATTCATTTTGTACTGAACACCAATAATATTCATAGGCAAATGTCTTGGACATATAATATATTCTTTAATGAAGAAAGTGTATTCTATTCAAAGGTTTATGCATAGAGTACAAGATTTTAGATTTGTTATATCCCAAAATGTTATTTCAACACTATATATAAGATAGAGTATTATGAAATGATTTGTTAAGATTAAAAAGATTATGTATAAGTATCATTTCCCAAAATATTATCTAAAATTCAGGTACAAACAGAGAGTTGATAGATGGTCAGGTACTCAGCTGATTTTGACAAAAGTTATATTGACATAAGAGGGTCTGTGGCAAATTCCTCCAGAATAGAAAAAAAAAAGGATTTTTTAATATGTATTTTTTTTCTGAGACTTATTAAAATGAAGTGTCTTTAGGTGATGACAGAAATGATGATTTATTTTCACCATCTTTCGGCTGTATTGCTGGTGATGATCACATATTAATCTGATAGTCATCTCCTTCTCACAATAAAATGACAAAAAATCAAGATTGATCCATGTTTTGTGATGTATTATTAGCTTTAAAAGTTATTTGTACTGAACTTCAGCAGTGAACATTGTCATTCGTGATTGCAGACATATTAATGAGGGTACTCCTAGTTAGAATATTGTTCCCAAATTTAGAAAAGATGCTTCCTAAAATTAGACATTTTGGTAGATGTCAGTGGTTTTCCAATACTTATATTTCTGGTTTAACAAAAGAATCCTTTAAGTACTATATATATTTAGTAACAGTTACATAGACACATTAGCATGTTGTCGTCCTCATTCTAGGCAGCTATGATTTGTACTGACGACATTGAACTTATTCCATCATTAAATGAAATTGGCATTCGTCAAAGCTTGATAGTTGAGAACTCACCAAACAGGAACTAGTATTTTGTATACTTAAATGATTTTTTTAAAAAAG